GGCGTGTGGCACCGCATTCACATCAGTACGCATATCCATGAGTGTGTGGGGGGAGGGGGTGGTGGATAGCTCTCAATATGGTTGCTTCCGCATACTATGTATAGATAGATATACATGCTATCTACGGCTGGCAAGCACTCATACGTATACTGTGTAATTTACTTTACATGTGACATGTGTGTATATATAAGCATGTGTCCTTTTATAAACGATCGTACATGTGCATTTTGCTGCAGGCTGGTAAGATTTCGGAAAGATACTCCTGGCCCAAGCCAACACATAAAGAGATTGGTGACCTGAAGATGCTTGAGCAGCAGCCCGGAGAAGTTGCACAGGCATTTTCACACTATAGTTGTTACTTTTACACCAAAAGGCAACTCCTTCTAGTCGATTTGCAGGGGAAAGTTCTGCCAACTGGGCAGAGGCAAGTAATCAAGCTGACTGATCCAGCGATACATACTTTTGACGAAGTGAGGCGTCGTCAGTATGGTATCACCGACAAAGGTCAGGAAGGAATCAAACGGTTCTTCAAACATCACCAGTGCAATGCACTTTGCAAAGCTCTGGGTGTACCTTCCGCTCTCGAACAGAAGAGCTATCATACAGGACTAGATAATTTGATGGCTTACAAAGGCTCGAGGGCAGCCAAAGGTTCGGGCAAGAGCCGAGTGTGACTTTGGGCTTGCAGAAGCGGAACTATCAGGCTATACATCGCGCAGGAAAAGGGGATGTTGTGGCGGCAGCTTGTGCAGAGATCAATCTTGCACAAATGCTTGAAGTCTGAAACACTGAATGTGCTCCGGATGGATCGTTTGGTTTGGTGACTGAAACTTGCTTGAAACAGTACCAGGGCAAATGACCGAATTGTGGTCATTGGATGCACTTCCTGCCTCTCGAACTTTAGCCCCTGAGATGTCAAGAATCGTCCGAACGGTCGGAGAGCCTTCCTGCCTCGAGCGACGCACGGTTTGCGCCAGGTGTCCGAGCCTTTTGAGGATGCGAAGGTGGCCCTTCCAGGACGATCGATCCATGACACAGGTCTTGGGAACCTTGTGGAACGGCAAATGACTCAGGTCTTGGGACCTTAATCTCAGGTCTGACATGTTTCCATCAACTCATGTCTTGGGATGTAAGGCCCTGAGTTGAAATATGGTGAGTGGAGAGTTACGCCGTGGAAGATTGAACTTCAAAAGCCAGTGGATGGAGGAAGCTAGGTCCAATTTCAGGTTCCATGTAATCTTCCCAGGTGTAGAAGTTGATACTGCATGCTTTGATCCATTTGGTCCGGTAGGGTGTGCTGAAGGCCATGATCCAATTTGTCTCTTTCCACTGGCCACGCTTTCCTCCAACCACAGGCAGGAATGGCCACCAGATCCAACCCCAGCGCTGCCACGTGTCTGCAACCCACAGCCCTTGGTGGGCCCACAGCCTGTGCTCCGACACCTGCAGCAGGAGCCTTTGTCAAGTGGATGCATGCGGATGCCGGAAGTGAAAAGGTTACCCGCGGGTGCTGGAGATTGGTCTCGCGTTGGAGTCGCTGTGGTCCAAGGGGTGCTCATCCCACAGGTCAAGTACAGGTTGCACAAAACGGCCGGCCGATGCAAATAGGCCATAGACAACCAACAACAGTCGGGCTGAGTTAAGCACTGAGTTGCTCAAGGTGGAGGCTGTTTCTGTTGGTCGTCAGTCTTCATGCCAATGAACTTCCCCCTTATGCTAAAGGAAGGGGGCAATTTCTCCTGCGATTGCATCGTTTTGGGGTTAAACCATTGAGGCCACAGGCCATTGGTGGGAAATTGGGGGAAGCACGGCCTGTTCATTAGGAGATGGCCCAGCCATCCCGTGCGCTGTTTGAGTGTTCCTTTGTGAGCACTGTCATGGCCCGACCGGCGGCTTGTCATGGCTCGCAGCCAAGGCATCATGGACACAAAGTGACACCAAGCAATATCAATTCAGGAAGCAAGATATGGCAGGCATCCATCCAGAAGATGACTGTTGCCACTCGAAGCGGAAGAATCTTAGACGGCTACCAACCATAACATCAATCAACGTCTAGCGTACTTACTGAGATTTGTTTGGCTATGGACCACGCATTGCCGAAATAACGTCAAGCTTGAAGACAGCAAGCTCCTTGGCAACAAGTATAGTTTTCCCTTCTGGCCTAGAAGCCATGAGCCAAGTCCAAAACGAGTCCGCGAAGCGGCGAAAGACAGCCCATCCAACTGCCCCAGAAAAGTTCAAGCCCGAGTATTTCCACCTGTCAAGACATCGAACTGGGCAGCCAAACAATCTTTGGTCCCCAGGTCGCACGCTCGAATTCTGTGTTGTTTGTTATTAGCCGGATGAGTTTAACCTTGCTCGAACTCACTACTAGTAGTGGTGCTAAAACAGCCTTTCGACAGGTGTGCATGTGTCAAATTTGCGGGCAATGGCAGGCACTTGCAGATAGAAAACCATTGGTTCGGGGGCCTCCCATCCTTCTAGTGGCCCCCATTCTTTCTGGGCGCATTCTCCAAAGCATGAGACATGGCCCTGCTGACGCAAGCCCGCGCATTGGCCCGGCACGCCTCGCACGCTGCGTGGCGGCCTGCTGGCTGCTTTGTACGGCTGGGGCGGCGAAAATCGATGAAGGGCCAGAGCTGGTCAGTGATCAGGTGGTCTTCCGACTGCATTTGGAGCTGTTTAGAGGAGAGAGACTGGGATATGATGGGCGATGCAAGTCAAAGGGACGGAGGTGTGCAAATTCTAGGTGGGCACCTCAAAGTGAGGAGGTGGCTAGCCTTTGACCCTTCTTGGGATAGGTTACCTATATAGACATGTCATGTCTATATACTGAAAATCAACCAGCAGAAAGAGGTGAACGCTTCACCATGATTCAGCGTTCTTTCTCCTAGGGAAACCGATGGGGTCAGATGCCCTTTCGCCAGACAGGTTTTTGAGCTTGTTGAATCGGAAGGTGAGCTGTGAAAATGATATCCGCCCAGAATGGTTCTTCCTGTGGCCCACTCGAGGGCCACAGGAAAGCCCCAGAAGCTAGCCAGGGTAGAGATGGTTTTTGAGAAATCTTTGAGAATCGAAAGGCTAGGGAGAAAGTGGCGAAGATGCTTGAGGAATCATGAGACATCCCCATATGGAAAGTAAGGAATGGTGTGCTGCTTAGGTCCAGGAAGCTGCTTTAGAGGCGAAGTTTCACGACTTCAAGGACGGGCGACAGAAACGGGCGGCGAGTTGTACTGAGAGGGCGGCAGCGTATCCATTCTATTGCTGTGGAGAAGAGGTGGGAAAGGCACAGTCAGCTGGTTAAAGGGTGTTTTCTCACCAGAGTTGTGACACAGAGAGCCCGCCAATTCGGCGGTCTTGCCCAAGTCCCGCTCATCAAGGCACCAGCTCGGCTAAGGGGGCTGACAGCAGTCAGCACAAGCATGCCAAGTATGCATGCATTGGTTTTCTTTGCTTGGCCATAGAACCGACGGACGTGCACTGAAGAATTATCCCAATGTGTTTGCTTGAAAGATGCTTTCAGAAATGCATATGATGCCATTAAGCATGTGCGGCATTTCTTAAATGTATCCATTGCCAGTTTCAACCTTTTTCCTTTTTCTATGGGAGGATCGGTACGGTGTCTATGATTTGAGAACGCTCGATGTTTTCTTCGAGCTCTTTGATATTTGGATCATGCTCTACCGCCACTTGCCCAAGGGAAAAGCTGCTGTCACATCCAGTGCTGGATTTGTTTCAGCGTTCAGCCTAGCGAGTCTGGGGCTTGATCTTGGAATCCTCACCGGGATTTGAGAACGCTCATGCCAGATCAGGTCTCAACAAGATTGACCAGGCCCTGGTGGAAGTCTTGCCAGCAGTGAGGTGGCGCCAGGATGAGTATGCCATCAGGGGCCTCCAGGCCTGGGCTGATCTCATTTGCCCATCCCTAACAATCCAAGGTCAGTACTCAGTTTGGGAATGGTTGATTTCCCTTCTAAACCACTTGTTGTCACGCCTTTGTTGGCTGGTTGCATGTCTAAGACTAAGAACGACCACGGTCCAGAAGGACTGGGCATTGTAGTGTGTCTGTCCTCCACGTCCAAGAAGGTGTGGAAGCGGTGGGTGTTGGCCGCTCAACCATCGGATTCCTCCTGTTTGTTTGATGCGTTTATTCAGTATGTTCTTTGATCAATTTTTTTTGGATCCAAGTGCATGAGAAGGTACTTGGAGCCTTTGCTCACCCCCCCACGCCAATCCCAAAGCATCTGAATTTGGCTTTGCAGGGCAGTGGATCTCAACACGGAAGAATGACCACGATATGGCACCAGGATAATCAGATACGTCCAGATGTCATTGGGAAGGCCATCACCAGACTTTTCCACCACTTCGGGCAGATGGGGCGCCGCCTTCGCAGGCCTTGGCCTTTACCCGGTGGAAACAGAATCGACACCGGGAGGCTCTGGCCCGGTTTCATGAGATGGAACCTTGGAAGCATTTTCTTGGGAGTGTGAAGGGGGGCCCATTGGCATCCCACTGATCCAGTGGATGTCCATCACTGGAAGCATTTTCCTTGGAAGCACGTGTGACACCCTCGACTTTTGGGAGGTGCGGACCCTTCGCACGGTGACCCAAATCAACCGGTGACTGACAATTCATCAGGTTTCATCCAAGCAAGAGATGCAAGGCACAGGGCGGCACATGCGGCACATGTTGGTCACCGGGACCTGAGTCTTCTGTGCCGCTTTGAGTGTTTTTCAACTGGAAACGTTCCTGGACATAGCAAATCTCAGAATGATGAGCCTCCAACTGTACCGAGGGCACAAGCTCATCAGACGGTTTCGGGACTATTCTGTTGGGCAGACTGACGTATGACTGGCCCACGGGAGATGTGTTTCATCAGAGTATAGCAAGTAGACTGCCCCCACACCCAGAACCTACATGAAGTGCACAAAAGACATGAGAGAGTATAGTTATATAAGGCTCAACATATCATGTGGATTCCTCTTAAGGGTCTGTCCCAATACCTGTAACAGTCAGTAATAAGTGATCACATTATTTTAAGAGAAAGGCCTGCAACATAACCATCATCATCATCCACTGTTACTGGTGATGGGATATACAGCACCCAAAGTATATATGCTTTCTACCTGGACCATCCTGGGTGTCTCTGGAGATCCCTACAGACTGTGGGCTAGTCCGGTGCACCGGTGTCCGATCGCAAGCTCTATTGGTTGATTTGGCAGGTCAGAAACGGACCTCATTTTACTGGAGTTCGTAGAACAAACACTACTTCAAGGAGGGACACGATCTGGTTTTACTGGATCTTTGGACTTGTATAGGTATATTATGGTATATTATTCATTGGGGTGGCACAACTAATCTGAACATCTCTGGGCTGACGTTCTACAAGTGGATCGTGATCCGGTCGGAGGCCTTCCTGACATGTCGAAGAAGAGTCACATCGAAGATCGAACTCAGCAGACTTCAGGAGGGATGGGTTGGCAAGAGTGCTCCCTTGTGCGAGAACATCGGCCACACCTACAATGCGCTGCTGAGATTTAAAAAAGATATCAACAGCCTGAGAGTGAGCATTCACGGGAAGAGGACCATAGAGGACCCAATTTTTCAGTGCTTGAAGCTTTGTGTTCTTAGGTTGGCAAGGTCTAGCAGCGCAAAGGAAGGTTGAAGAACTCCCGTTCTTCCAGTCCAGGCTTGGGATGCCGAAGGAAGCGGAGCACTACTTCAACCAAAGCCTTTTCTACATGACACCTGGGATCCATTTAGCTGAGCTTGTGCATATATAAATCCACTGAGTTTGTGTTGGCGTGTCAGGAGATGTTTTCTGTGTTCCAGAAGTGTTCTGCGATCGCAAGGAATGCTCCAGATTCCAACATGTCCAGCGATCAGCAAGGTCTTTTGACTCGATACGCTTGGAGGGGAGGGGTGGGACCCCTGAGGGACTAATCTCCATTGTGATTTTTGTTGTCAATTTGCTGAAGTGAGCGAAGACTTTGCTGGTTCTCTGGATTTTTGGCTGAAGAGACGTGCTTTTTGCTTGTGAACTCAACCGATCACTGGCCTCAACATCGGTTCGACAAGAAGTTGGGTCACTGCTTTTCAGTCACGGCTGAAGGCATGGGTGCATGTAGTCGCAGACATCGCAATGGCACCGACCCCCCTTTTTCTCCTGCTCGCGTGTAACTTGTTCGTTAGATCACCTCATCGAGCCATGCGCTTTGGTGATAAGAATAGAATCAAAAGAACTAAAAGCCCGGAACGAAAAAAGAACAGCCGTAGCTTTCACCACATCACCATAGTGTTTTTTCACCAGATGGCAGCTTGGGGAGCCTTCGGTTAAAGTCCACTCTCCGGGTACGGGTCTAGTGGCTTCAGGCGGCTCCTTGTTGGGCCTTGCCGGGGTTCGTGAGAAGCAGCAGCTCTGGGCTGAAGCGCGGCAGGCGGCACAGGAGGCGCGCGCGCGGATGGTCCGAAGGTGGCGCTTGGTGTTTTGCAGGAGTAGTGACGGCGAACAAAGACCTTGAACACGAGAATGTAACCACGAGGCCTGAAGAGGCTTTATGATCTACCTTAGGATACTGCTGGAGGGCATTTGTGGCTGGAATGTGACAGGCCTATGACATCTACAAGGCAAGGGATGTGCAGCGGGGCTGGGACTCCTCATTAACCGCGAAGGCAGCCATGGCGGTCAGCTGCTTGTTTCGAGGACGAGGGAAGGACACAATGGACGAGTGATGATTCGGTGAAAGGAATGGGGCCACGGGAGACAAGTTGAGTGGGTTTCGATTCTGAGGAATTGGCGGGATGATGCATTGAAACGCTTTCCCGGATGAACTCGACCATCTCCATTGAAGTACTGGGAATGCCGGGCTGCCAAGATTCCAATCCAAACCAATGAGGAATCTTTAGGATATTAATTATATTAATTTAGGAATTGAACTTTTTTCTAACATGAATTTGTTGGTACAGCCATGAATTTGCTGGTATATAGAGTTTCCTTGTGGTGAGCAACTGTGACAACTGTCGAGAAACCTGAACCTTTCGCTTGGTGGATGATATAAAGAATTGCTCTATGTTGCCCGATGCATGCCCAACGAGCAGGTGACATCAAAAGGACACCGGCCTTCAAATGGAACCGAGTTGTTACACATCCCATCCCTTCTCGACCTCGTTAGTAGATGCCACCACTGAAGATCTGGCCCCGCGACGATCCCAGGCAAGATGGATCTGAAACTGGGGAATTTGGAGCAGGCCTTGGCCAAAGCCGAGGTGTGGCCTCACCATGGAGAGGGAGAGGGAGAGATTGTGAGATGGGCAGACCCACCCCAGAACCTAGATCGATCCTGACATGGACGTTTTCCCAGGAGCAGGTCAGAGTGTTGGAAGCGAATGGTTCATCCCAGCACCCGGCTCGATGGTCTTCCGGCCATGGATCTCAAAGTCGCAGGTGGTGACCTGTTGGATGGTGCTGTTTCTGCATGTTCTGCCCGCGCGCCGGGGGGACTAAACTGGCAATGGACTGCCTTTGTATCGCAGATCTGCTCCGGACTCCCCCACCTGATGGTTCACGAGCAACTTTGGCAACGTTGAAAGTCATTGCAGGAGGCCTTGCGGCTCTTCGAACTGACCAGTGGCAGCCAAAGCCCTTTGATGTCCACAGCCTATCGCCGCATGGGTGAGATCTACATGAAGAAGGTGCCGCTGTGGGCTGTGCCCGCGATGTTTTTTTGTCCGCTGTTCCTTTGGATTCTGGACGGGCAGATTGATTTCGAACGGAGGAAACGCAAGCTCCGAAAGTTACAAGCAAACAGATGGAAAAAGAACAGCATGATCACAACAACGTCATCAAAGTGAGTGAATCTCGTAAAGCAGTTTTTAGGCCAAGACTATATACATTTGAGGCTGTCAGTTTTAAGATGTTTAAAGCATGTACGCATAATGTTGACGATGCTACTGGAGCAAGATAGCACTTTCAGCATCACGTTCAGATCGTGTCTTACAGCTTTTTGTTTTGCTGCTCCCTGAAGGGTTTGTACGTGGAAGCACGACAAGCCTTTCACAAGGCCTACAAACTGGAGGCGGGCAGCTATGCTCCGAGTCATGAACATGGAAGAGGTAGAGAAAGATTGTTGTCAAAGGAGCCTATTTTCTATATTCTTTTAATTGACGATTGAGAGTCATTTGGGGTGGAGGAAAGGAGGTTGCAAATGCCGAGTGCCAGCTGCCTACCACATCCGCGGCAACCAGCTGTTTGTTTGGCATTCTGCAGCATTCCCAATCAACTGCAGGGAATAGAGACAAAGGAAAGCAACTCAATTCCGATGGCTATTTATGTTGTTTGGGGTCGCGCAATTGCTTGCTTGGGGCACTTCAGGCTGTGAAGGATGCCTTTGATTTGACGGAGATCGTTCCTTGGCAATTGAGTGTCGTGTTGTTGGAGTTGTTAACAGATCCAACTGCCGATTTACTGTCCCTATGGATCCACCCACATACCTTCCGAGAAGGTGATTGGAGACTATTTATGTAGGCTTGGAGGGTCCAATTGCCTTCTGAGAAGGTATGTGGATCCATAGGGTGTATTGATTGGTGTTGACCCAATAAACAATAGCAAACACACAGTTCTTAGATGTTCGCATGCGGATCAGCCATTCTTTGAAGGGTCGACCGGAAGAGTGGATTCTTAGGCTTCTTGTATTGGGCACTCTTGTGGGTTGTTTCGGCAAGGCTTTACTGTATAACTTTTGAAGCTGTTCTTCAGTGGCATTGGTACACGTTATAAATCCTCTTACTAGCTTTGTTCTTGAAGGGTTGGTTCCTCATTCAGCAGATTGGCTATGCTACTATGCTTACCGCTCTTGAACGCAATGAGCTGCCAGTCACTTTTTGCATCGATTTTGGTGGGTTTAATCCTGCCGTTGAACATTATGTTGCATTGTATTTGGTCTTGTTTCGCAGGAAAATGATACAATGCCGGATGAATACGTTCTATTTGAATAGGACATGCCGGATCCCCAAACTAACCATGCATGCCGCAATTCTTCAGGACCATTGATAAGTATTGATGTATACCCGCAACCTCCAATAAGTCACTGCCTGCGACTGTTGAGGGGAAACCTGTGAAGTCCGTGCGCTACGAATCTTCTCAGTGTTCTCATAATGTTACATGTTTTTGCGGGAGGAGTGCCTTCAGGCCACAAAGTCTGGCATAGTGAGTGGAGCAGGGGAGAAACCCCTGCCAGGGTTTGCACCACCAGGTGAAAAAATCCCGAGCAGCTTTTGAAAAACACTGCCTAATAGAAAACGCTTTCTAAAAGGGGCCCTCGTGCTTTTTTGAAATAGGTGGAAGGGATTAGTCTCTGAAAACCTCAGTAAAGCCCTAAGAAGTGACTAAGACGGCCACAGTGGCTTCTTTGGTGTTCTTCTTTGGTCACCAGAGGTGACTGGAATCCAAAGCAGGGCCCGGCTTTGACCAGACAGGGCTGGGTCCGTGGGGCGTTTCGTCCATCACCTCGGTCAAAGACTGTCTTGGGTTCCATCCGTTGAGCACCGTTCATGGGCCACCCACCCAGCAAAGCCAAACACCCGCATCTTGGGGCGCGAAATGAGTTCGACGCCCCAGTTCGATTGGGACATCTGCCAGGTGATTTTGCACCAGTCGCTCATGGACGCACACCTGGGTCGAGGACCTTTGCAACGCTCCGCCTTCAGGGTCTACTTCCGCACGGCTGCGCAGGTGCGAGTCGAATTGACGACCGGAGCGTCAGGTCCAGTTCACGCCCGGTGGACGCCCTAAACTTCGAGGTTTGGTCCAAGGTCCACAACTGGTGATGACTGAACCCACCAACTCTAGGTCCACTCTTTCGTAAAGACAAGGCCCACAGGGGTTTGAGTGAGCTTTCCGTTTACAAATGTTTCAGAGTAGATGACACAATCTCCAAAAGGTTGTTGATATGGATTCCCAATAACCCCTTATCCAGTCCCACCGAACCTCAGAAACCACTGCACTTGATGGGTTTTAAGGGTTTTTTTTCAGCGCAACGCGCCACGCAGAGACGACTTGGTATGTGAAGCACCTCTTCAGGTGCTCAAGCGCGTCAAAGAACTGAAACAAGATGGAGACTTGTCCTTATCCTGAGGGATGGTGGGCGCGGCAGAGGGTCCTGAGGTCCGGCAAGGCCGATGGCTAGACCACACATGATTAGCTAGACCACTTTGAAAACCATCCCAACCTATTGGTATTGTTTTCTGTGCATGGACGTTGTAGGAGTGTTTAATGAAATCGAAACAACATGCTTAACCAGATGTCCATGTGGAAAGCATATTTCCCTTCAAACATACTGGCGAACAGGATGTACCTATTCTATGGTTGGAGGCCAATCGCTACTAGGTTGGAGGCCATCGCTGTTAAGTTGGAGGCCATCGCTACTAAGTTCATCGCTATTGAGTTGGAAGCCATCACTACTAGGGTGAAGGCCATCGCTCTTAGATTCAAGTACAATCAAATAATACATAGTGGAGACGAGCTGGTTGCCTCCGAAGCCACCACAATCCCTCAAGTCTTTTGCATTCTGCGATGCTGAAGACCCGCATGAGTTCAGGAAATGCGGGAGCTTACTACAAGTTGGCTGGGGAGCTCTTCGTACTTGGGGAAGACTGCAAGGCGAGGGATGAACCCGCTTGATTCTGACCAAAGCCACAGGTTCTTCCGCATCACTTGCATGGCATATACCAGCTGCTTCCGTTCAGGGTTACCAAGCTGGACAACCCTTCACTGCTTATAGATCACCAGACAGGACACCCAGACAGGAAGCGCTAGGTATGTATACATCTTACTTCTTGATCCTCATGCTCCGTCCCGCTCCACGGATCCAAGGCGGGTGCGCCGCTGCTCTCCATGGCCGTGTCGCTCCTACAGGTGGAGACAGCGGTCGATACCAAGCTCATGGTGAAAGCCAGCCGTGATCTCATCAGTTCCTTGGTATGGAAACCAGACGCCCGGATGCGACACGAACAGCCAGACCTTGGGGAGTGGGGACGACATCCAGGATTGAGACCATTTGCTTGAGTTTGGAGCTTGGGGTGTGTAGGATTTCATGTGGTGGGCAGACATCTTGGCCTCCCAATGACCCTCCCTTTGTTGGTGTGAAAGCAGGCGTGTATGGCGATGAAATGTTGAGTAGCATAAGATGTGCCTATGAAATCTTTCGTGAGAGCAGAAATCCAATCCTTTTCCAATCCATCCATAAGATGTGCCTATGAAAATTCCACTCCTATCCAATCCTTTTCCTGCAACGTGTTTGAGAGTCTCGAGCGACAGGTTATTGCAAGGGTAGCACGAAGCATTTAGAGGAACAATATCTTCGCGGCGAATTGTAGAAAAATCACACATATATATCCATATTTATAAACATAGTATATAATGTACTGCTAATATACCAAAATTATTCAATTTATGTAATCACAATTTAATACAAAACATAATATAGGCCCAAGGGCCGGTCTTAGCCTATTAGCTTTTTTAGTCCCCCCGTGCGCCGCGATTGAACACGTCCCCCGCATAAGCTGCCATTGCAAAAGCATCAAATTCGCAAAGATAATCATAAGACAGGGACGAAAAGGAACAAATATCAACAAAAAGAAAGAGCAGGCAAAAGCAGACAAAATCAAAACCCTGCGTGTTAGAACTCCACAGAGACCCAGACATATAGAAGGAGAAGATGCACCGGCATTCCAAAGATCCCTGCTAAAAAGAATGGAGATGGATAACAAACGACTTGAACACCGCGACATGGATGACCAACGCAAAGTGAGAAGCTCAGAGCCGGTACGCCTTGTGCGTTCCGCACGACCGGAACTTGATGTGGACCACCTCGGGGGATCAAGATGAAACCCTGAGCATGGCCAGACGCAACCCAGAGCACTCCTGATGCAACAGGTGGAAGCAAAAGAGATGGTCATTTCGGCCTTCGGAGAGAGATGCACAGAGCAGGACATAGAACGGATCCTTCATTGGATCGCAGAGGCAGGTACCACCAAAGAAGGCACCGCACCAGGGAAGGCATGCTGACCTATATGAGCATTGGTTCATTCAAATCCAAACGGGCAAAGGACAAGTTCCAAGGATGGTGGAGGAAGACCTTTCCTTCTCGTGTTCCTGCATGTTATTTGGACCAAACAGGCGAAACCTGGGACAAACACGTGCAGATAGCATCAACGGGATCAAGGGTACAGTATCCATCTCAAAGTTTGCATCGAAGTAGTTAGCACCCACCGTGATAACCCATTCTTCAAGAATATCTCGGGATTCTTCATTAAATGGGAGGATAATACAATCCTCCATGTCACCGACTACATCATCTACATCGATTTTGACGAATCAGAAGCCATTGCGACTATCATCATCGTTCGTGATTTTTTTGCCTTTATTGAGGAACAAGGGCAAACATTTGAGACATAATGAATTATAAAGGAAGAAAGGAAAATTATCGAAAGGAACGAAATATAATGAAATATAATTTATCTTACGAAAATACCATCCGGAGGAAAGGACGATAAAATTTTATTCTTTGGAATATATTTAAACGATATACGAAAAATATTTTTGCATAAATAATAATGATGATATGTATTTCTAAAACATCATATTATATATAATTATAATATATAAATAGGAATATATTGAATAATTAAAATACAATTTTATGTATAAAGGATTTAAATAAATATATGTAAATAATATGTATTTAAATTGATTTTTTTTATAAAAGGTAATGCTTATATTATTTGAATTATGTTTATTTTAGTAATAATATATTGGGGGGATGAAATGAATTTATAATTGATTTCGATTATTTAAATAATATTATATTAAATTATTCTATTTTTATTATATATTAAATAGCAATTATAATATAGCAAAAAAGAAAATTAAAATAATGATTTTAATGATTACAATAACGAATTTAATAAAATAATATTAAAACTTACATAAATTTGGTTTGCAAATACCAAAATAAAATTAAATTTGATTTTCATTAATTTTGGGGGATTGCATAGACGAAATTGAAAGAGAACAGAATAATAATAATCTTTAGGATTCAAGAAACAATAGCAACCAGCAAGAAATAACAACAATTAATAACAATAACCAAATAGCAACCAACAATTAATAGGAATAGCAACAACAATAACCAGCAGCAGCAGCAATTAACAACAGCGGCGGCGGAGACAGCGGCAGCAATGATAATAACAACAAAACAATAATTATATCACAACAAAGCAATATTTGCAACACTAATGGTAGTAGTAACGACCAAGCAATTAGTAGCAGCGGTAGCCATATTACCTTTCGTCTATCCCCGTTTCCTCAAGGAATGGGATGGGGAAATTGGAAGAGTCATTGAAATTACAGAATAATCTATATTTATTTAATATATAATAATATATTGATTTGATTGATATAATTTTGCAAAAGAAATCTAAAATATTAAAATATTAATAGAATTTGAGATATTTAAAGCATTAATTGAAGATTTTATGAATATATATATTCGATAATTAAATTTTGAGAATTATAAAATTGGATTATTCTAGGGCAAATTAACATAATTAACTATAAAATAATAATATTATGGGATTTTGGGTATGATATTTTTTTGGAGATATAATATATATAATATAATACATTTCATTTCATTTCATCTGCCGGCAACCGTGCTGGTTGCCCGTGTTGGGCCGCAGCTGGATTTCTCCAGGCCGGACACTTCTGGAGTGTCTAGGCACCAGGTTCGAACAGGCGTGCTTATGCAAAGCGATCGTTGAGCAATTCATCAAAATTCTTTGGCTTCATAGGCAAAGGACGTTTCCAATGCTGGCTTGTACAAGACTTGGGGATGATCCAAAGAAGGTAGATAGTGGAAGCAATGTCCGGGTCAATACCCAAAGGAAGGGCGGATCGGAAGTCATCACAAGACTTGACTGTGCCACTGTGCCAAAGAATGCTACGATAATGGCCTTCGGCGGGTGTTGCACCCAGGTGAATGACCCCCGCGGTCACGACAAAATCATGCCACTCAACATGGATGCCTTGGCGATCACTGAAAATCGGAATCTGCACGGGCTGGCTTCTATCCCATAGAACCGAACACTGGCTTTTCTGGCCGATGAAGGGAAAACGGGACACCTGAATGCAAATCCAAGGGGAATCACATGTAAAAGCATGGACAAAAGGCTCTTGATGATGCCAGTTGTTGATCAGCTGCTGAAGGGTAATGAGACCTTCAATTGGACATGCCATAGGAACAGGAGCGAACACGTCTGCTTGATCTTCGGTGGAATTCAGCAATCGAGAGCTCCAACCCTGCTGCATATACTGCGGGAGCGTCTTTTCAAGCAGCCGATGTCGAAACCATCCAGCAAATTCACCAGCATCATGCTGATCACGACTTGGATGGTTCTGGAACCAGTCTACAAGCAGGCGGCCTAGGAACTGGTCTGCACATGGGTCCACAACAACCCCTGCATGCTCAACGAACATGCTCAAAAATTGTTTCTCCCATGCTCCCCAAATGGCGGTATTGAAGGTCAAGCTCATGACGCTACTCCAGGTATGGGCATGCAGAACACTGTTGATATAGCAAGTGCTGCCGGAGCCACCCAGTTTGGTCTCGAGGATGCCCGTCACGATCTCCTCAATCGCTGGGAGATGGCGTTGGCTAGAGGAGAACGTTGGAGGTTGGCTCCCCTTACCCGAAGGAGGATCAACTGTGTGATTCCATTTCCAGCTAGCTTCTGAAGAAGCTGGAAGAGTTCGGATGCCTCGGCAGACCTCAGACTGAGGTCCAAGCGCCATGGTATTGCGGTCGTGGCGTCCTGAGGGAGGGTGTCCTGTTTGACCGGTCGCAAGGCCGAGAACTTGTGTATCACTCCAGGTTGCTGGCCGAGATGCGCAATTCTTTCCAATAGCGAGCGAATCTCCTCCGAGGTCAGGGGTGGCATCCGATTGGGTTTGAGCATCATGGCTTGACTGTCCCAAGAGAGATATGCCCATTAGCTGTCCTCTGTCAAGATGCCTTAGGATCTCAGATTCAATACCAATGCGTCGTCGCTTGCATCGAGCTTCAAGAGTTGAGCTCT